GTGAGCATGCAATAAACCACGGCAGGGGAGTTGGAAGTAGATGATCTTTAAGGTCCCTTCCAACCCAAACCATTCCATGATTCTATGATTACCTGCGTTTTGCTGCAATTGCTCTTCCAGCCTGCTCTGGGCAGCACACAAGCACGGTGACCTCTGGACACGTGGTGACCCAAGCCCCACGCTGCCCAAAGCGTACTCCTTCTCGATGTCTGCCCAGATTTTTGAGGAGAGACAGTGGGCTTCCCAGGTAAAAGAGTCCCCAGCCGCGATGGCAGCGACTCCGCTGTCACCAACACCAGCGCAGGGGTGTCAGTGGGACTGCTGCGCATGCTGGCTTTTTGAACTACGGAAAGAGGCCGGTCATGCTCCAGCTCCTAGCAAGCTGTGCGTTTGGAGGGCAGCACCACAAAGTTTGGGGCCCTCTTTTCATGAAACAGGCTCCTCCAAAACAGCCGGGAAGCTCAGCACATGCAAGAGCCCAGCGTGAGCAGGCTGGGTGCTGAGGTTCAGGATGATCACTTAAAGGCTTCCTCTGCGCTGGAGCTGAATCATCTATAACGAATCTGATGGACATAACCAGTTTAAGCACAGCTAAGCCTTGTCCAAGTTAGCCACCAGTTTAAAAACCTCAATCCCTTCAGCTCTATTTCCATACCGCTGCTGTTATCAGCTTTCCATTGCAATGCTCCCAAGTGACTCAACAGGCTTTTGCAGGGGCTTTAGGAGATCACGGCAAGCTACCAGTGGGGCGTGCTGAGCCAGCCCCGACCCACGCGCTGAAACTCCAGCCCCATCGCTGAACCGAGTCGGGGCATTCCTTTCCCCTCACGGGTAATTAATGACAACGGGTACCTGGGCAGGAGTCTGGAAAATTCATGCAAAAGAGTGCAATTACTGGGATTGGGCAGGAAAATGGGAAGTGAGCTGCAGGGCTGAAATGCTTCCAACAAGCACCATTGATCCCTGTGATGACGGTGCGCGTGCTTCACAGGAGCTCCAGCTGCCCTCCCCTCCAAAGAGCCAGCCATCCCAGGAGGATGCAGGGACTCGGGGAAGGACCACTGCTTCCCCCAAGACATCCCAGAGAGGAAAGCGTGGCACCCTCTTTTCGGCCACAGAGCACCCCCAGACAATTCTCCCAAAGCAGCCGCAGAAGGCCAATGTGCTAAATAACACAGTCCTAGAGCTGAGGTGACAGGATCCAGCTACACCACAAAGCCGGTTGCTCTGCCAGCCCCCATCACTCAGCCAGTTGGTCTGTCGGTGCGCTCAGCCCCT